CAATGGCGCGATCTTGGCTCACCGCAACCTCCGCCTCCTGGGTTCAGGCAATTCTCCTGCCTCAGCCTCCTGAGTAGCTGGGATTACAGGCACGCGCCACCATGCCCAGCTGATTTTTTGTATTTTTAGTAGAGACGAGGTTTCACCATGTTGGCCAGGCTGGTCACAAACTCCTGACCTCAGGTGATCCACCCACCTCGGCCACCCAAGGTGCTGGGATTACAGTCATGAGCCACTGTGCCCAGCATGTGTTTTATTTTTAATTTAAAACTCACTTATGACTTGTCTATATAATATAATTACATTAGTTCAATGTAAGTTGAACTAATGATGTGACACACAAACTCTTGTGAAAAATGCCAGTTACTTCTAATGTAAGCATTTTTTCCAAAATCATTTATGTCTAAACTAATTCCTTCATAAATCAGTAAGAAAATGATAAAACAATTCAACAGGAAAAGAACAAAGGACAGAAAACTCAGAGAAGAAACACGAATGTTCAATAAACATATAAAGGTATTTAATTAAATTCATGAGTAATCAGAAATATTCAAATTTAGATGGAATCCCTTTTATTCACCCATAACATCAATAAAAAGTTGGAGAATACCAGTGGTGAAAAAGTGTGGGGAAATCAATGCTGTCGTATTCTACTGACAACAGAGTAAGCTGGCACAACATTTTTGAGGGAAATTACAATTTTATGTCTACATAATCATAAATACCCCATAACCCAATAATTCCATTTCTAGATATTTATTCTACAGGAATAATTTCCTATGTTCACAAAGAAGCATGTGCAGGGATTTCATTGCAGCAATGCACATAACAAGAAAACTAAACGTAATCTAAACATTCATCAATGGGGGAATTATTAAATAAACTATGATGCATCCAAACTATGGATTATGCAGGAGTTTAAATGAATGGGGTAACCCTCTAAGTACTGGGAAGGAAAGAAATCTAAGGCATATCATGAAGTGAAAGAATCAAGTTACAAGATGTTACCACTATGCAAAGAAAAAAGATATTAAAAACCACACAGCAAATCTATTTTGCTTTATGTAAATATGTATGTAGGCAATGGGAAAAAGTCTCGAGGAATATATACTAAATGCAGGGTAGCGTTACCTCAGGGATGAGGGAGTAGGGCACAAGGAGGGTTTTTGTTATATCTGTTATTTCATTTTTATACATTAAAAATAAAATCATGGGCTGGGGGTGGTGGCTCATGCCTGTAATATCAGCACTTTGGGAGGCCAAGGTGGGAGGATCAGTTGAGCCCAGGAGTTCGAGACCAGCCTAAGCAGCATAGGGAGACCCTGTCTCTACAAAAAATACAAAATTAGGTGGGTGTGCTGGGATGCACCTGTGGTCCCAGATACTTTGGAGGCTGAGGTGGGGAATCTCTTGAGCCTGAGAGGTGGAGCCTGCAGTGAGCCGTGATTGTGCCACTGCATTCCAGCCTGTGGAACAAAGTAAGACCCTGTCTCTGGAGGAAAAAAAAAAAAGAGAGGAAAAAAAGGGAACATAATCATGTATTATTTGTATGATAAAAAATAAATTTAAATTGCCTCTTACTTTAAAGAGAGTTCACCAAATTTAATTCTAAAATAACCATAGGATTGCAATCAACAGAGGTTGATTTGGGGTATGGAGGGGAAATACCTTTTCTCAGAAGTACAGACCTCAAAATTCTGGACCAAGAAGGATCTTACAATGCAGTTAGTTTTTTTGTCATATTTGGAGAGAATATACTCACAGTTTCTCGGTCCAACGGAATGCCTTCCATACCTTTCCATCAATGTAAGAAATATAGTTTCCTTGGAAATTTCTGTAAAGAAACACAGTTTATATCCTTGAATAGGTAGGAAAAGAATGAACAGGATAAGAAAAAGAATCATGGCAACCTTGTCAGGGATATTCAGTTGCAGAAAATAACACCTACCTTCTAATTTCCAGAGCTATCAGCTTCCTAGTTTGCACAATTAATCAAGAAATAACGTGGGGCCACTGGCACAAATGATGAGGCATCTCCGAAGCTTCCTATCCGTCTAATCTCTTAGACAGATGATGCCAGTTAATTACTTTGAATGTAAGTATTTTATCCAAAAGCACTTATGTGTCTAAATAACTCATTCTACAAATCAATATAAAAATGGTAAATAATTCAACAGAAAATGGGCAAAAGCTTATCATTATCAACAAATAAGAAGAAAGAAACCCTATGCCAAGTAACACCAAAGCTTTGGCCCAGTGCCCTCTGCTGAAACATCCTAGGATTTTTCTTTCCACTTCTATTACAACCGATCTGATTTAGCCCCTTCACACTTTACTCTTAGGTTTTTCTAGACCTTTCTATTTGTCTTCCTGAATTAAGGTTTCTCCTCTAGGGCACTCTACATATGGATTCTAAAATAATCCTTTGCATGTCTACACTTGAACATAAAGCAAAAAACAAAATAAAATAATCTTCCTGTTTTAATCATTTCATCTCTCTTGCTTGGAAACTTTCAATGGCTTTCCATATCTCACTATGTAACTTTCAAACTCCTCTAGCTGATAATCAAGGTTTTACATAATCATATCTTCATTGTTCCCTCATGTGATTCGTGCAGCGAGATTGGTCTACTAAATTCCAACCATACCTGTAGCCATGCCTTTGCCTAGACTACATTCCCATTTTTTTTTTTTTAATTTAACAAATTATAGCTACTCTTTAAGACCCAAGTAAAGTTTTAGCTTATCCATGTAGCCTGACCTCCATACCTCAAGGATCACAGATTCTGGTAAATTCTAGCACTGATGTTCTGCATTATCTTTCAGTACTTAATTACATAGACCTCCCTTTTCATGCCTATTCTCTCCCTTCCTTCCTATCATTTTCATGTTCTGGAGATGGTAGCAGACTTGGCCCTGGGTTGGACACAAAACGAGTGCTACAGATAGAAAGCCAGGGACAAAGATGAGTTCCGGACAAAACTAAAGGACTGAGTAATCATGTTAACAACCAAAACTCCTACATATGCTAGGCACTGATGCAAGTATTTCATGTATTCACTCACCTGAATTTTGCAACAATCCTGTGAAATGGTAACTAGCATAATCTCCAGTTTAAAGATGAAGAAGGGCTGGGCATGGTGGCTCACGCCTGTAATCCAAGCACTTTGGAGGCCAAGGTGGGTGGATCACCTGAGGTCGGGAGTTCAAGACCAGCCTGACCAACATGGTGAAACCTCATCTTTAAAATAAAAAATAAATAAATAAAGATGAGGAAACTGAATCACAGAGCAGAATAACTTGCTCTGGGTCACCAAGCTAATAAATGACAGACCTGGGCTCAAACCCAGGCAGCCTGGCTCCAGAATCAACTCTTAAGCACTTAGAGCATCATCACTGAGACAGGGAGAGGGACAAGCTGCTGTAAAGAGGGTGAAGTGAAAATGGGAGGAGAGCAGCGGTTAAGCAATGATGGGATGAGGCTAAATAAAAATGGATAAGAAAACGAGTAAGGGTAAAACACTAGAGTAAAAGTAAAAGACTGGAGAAGGGGCCTAACAGTAAAGGAGAATGAGGAGAAGGAAGAGTGGACAAGCAAAGGTGAAAGCAGAAAGTCAGCTGTCAGTATGGCTTGGGGAGATAAGGAAGGCCCAGGAAGGCCTCCAGGAAAAGCCTGCCATGTCAGGCAGGACACAGAGGACAATGGAGGAAAGGTGATGCTTACAAGATAGTGAAGGTGCCATTGTAGGTGTTGGGCTCTGGCACAGGCACGTGGCGGAGCTTCTGCTTTGGGCTGAGATCAATACACGACAGCGTCTCATCTCTGCAGGTACAGAGGTCACACATGTTGGTGCTTGCGGAGGCCTGTTCCTCTGGTGCAGTTAAAGCCTTATTTTGGGCGTAAGTTTCAGGCTGCACCAATGAATCCTGAGTAGGTTCTAGTTCAGTAGGTGGACCTGTGACTTCAGTTAGGTTTTGATGCCGAGTCTGAATCTCGTCTGAACGAGGAGCTGTAGTCTTCTCCAGGGCTGTAGAATGTCCAGTCTCTGTAGTGGGTTCTGGAGTTATGGCAAGCCCCAGATCTGGAGGATGGGTTGAGGTCTCCTCCGTGGTTGGAGACAGTTTTACCTCGGTAGTAGGTTCTGTCGTGATGGTAAACTCCAGGTCCAGAGACTGAACTATGACTTGACGCAGGTTTGCATGCTGAGTCTGACCCTTGTCTGAAGGTGGAAGTGTTACCTCAGGGTGTTTTGGAGGAGAAGCTGTAGTCGTCAGGGCTGTGGAAGGTTCAACCTCTGTAGTGGATTCAGGAGTGATGGTAAGCCCCAGATCTAAAGGTTGAACTGTGAGTTGAGTCAGGTTTGAATGCTGAGTCTGAACATGGTCTGTATGTGGAAGTGTCACCTTAGGGTGCTTTGAAGGAACAATAGTCTTCTTCAGGAGTATAGAATGTTCAACTTCTGTACTGGGTTCTGGAGTTAGTGTAAGTCCCAGGTCCAATGGTTGAACTGTAACGCTGGATGACATTGAATGCTGAGCTTGATCCTGACCTGGTGTTGGAACCATTACCTCTTGATATACTGGAAGCTGGGGTACAACTTTCTTAAGAGGCTGAGTTGCGGTCTCCTGCATGGTTGGAAAAAGTTCAATCTCTGTCGTGGATTCTGGAGTGATGGTAAGCCCCAGGTCCAAAGGTTGAACTGTGACACTAGGCAATGTTGAATGCCGACTTTGATCCTGACCTGGTGTTGGAAATGTCACCTCATAATGAGCTGGAGGTTGAGCTGCAACCTCCTTAGATGGCTCTGGAACCTGAGCTGGGATCACCTGCTGGCTTGAAGGTTCTACCTCCTTAGGGGGCTCTAGAGCCTGAACTGTGGCTTCCTGCTGGGGTGGAGAAGGTTCTGTCTCCAGAGGGGGCTCTGGAATCTGAGCTGGAATGTCCTGCTGAGTTAGAGATGGTTCCACCTCCTGAGGGAACTCTGGAGGCAAAGATGGGGCCATCTGCTGGGTCAGAGAAGGCTCTATCACCATAGGGGGCTCTGAAGACGGAGCAGGGACTGCTTGCTGGACTGGAGAGGATCCTACCTCTTTAGGTGGCTCCAAAAGCTGAGTTGGGGCCTGCTGTAGGACAGGAGATGGTTCAACCTTCCCAAGTGGCTCTGATGGCTGAGCTGGTATCTCCTGCTGTGGTGGAGGACTGATCTCTTTCGTGGACTTCGGAGGATAACCTGAGGCTTCCCGCTGGGTTGCAGATGGTTCAACCTCCTTAAGGGGCAATGGTGGCTCAGCTGGTAACTCTTGCCAGACTGGAGAAGGTTCTACCTCCTTAGGGGAATCTGGAGTCTGAGCTGTGGCCTCCTGCTGGACTGGAGATTCAATCTTTTCAGGGGAATGCAAAGGTGGGGAACGGAGATCAGGCTGGACTAGAGAAAAGTCTGCCTGCTCAGTGGGAATAGGAAGATTGTCCTGCTGTACTGGAATTGGTTTGACCTCTATATCTACAGTGACTGCTGTAGGTATGGTAAGCTCCAGATCCACATTTTTAACTGTGGTATTAGACAAAGGTGAATTACTTCTGAATACTGGAGACAGATCTAGAGGTGAAAATACCATCTCATTACTCAATGGACTGAGCTGAGTTGGAGGCTGAGTTGTGGGCTCTTGATGGACTGGAGGAAGTTCATCATTTTCAGGGGTATTTAGCTGCTGAATGATAATCTCTTGCTGGTCTTTCAAATGTTGAAACTGCTTAGGGGACATTAAGGACTGAGCTGGGACCCCCTGTTGGGTTAAAATTTCAACCTGATTAGTGAGATCTGGAGTCACTGTAACCATGTGATCCACAGGTTTAACAGTGACATTGTGCAATGTTGGAGGCTGAACTTGGTCATGACTTAGAGGAGAAACTGGTACCTCATGATGCTCTGGAGGTTGAGCTACAACTTCATTAGGGAGCTGTGGAGTCAGAGCTGGGGCCTCATGCTGGATTAGAGGAGACTCAACCTCCACAGGGGTCTGTGGATGCTCAGCTGCAGCCTCCTCCTGGGTTGGAGAGGGGTTCTCATTCTTAATAGGTTCTGGAGACTGAACTGAAGTCTCCTGTTGAATTGGCAAAGGTCCAACCTCTTCCAATGACTCTGGAAGCAGAGGTGGGCCCCCGTGCTGGGTGGCGGAAGGTTCTACATCCTTAACTGGCCCTGAGAGCTGAGCTATAGCCTCCTGGTGGATTGGAGAAGTTCCCATCTCTGCAGTAGGCTCTGTTGCTATGGTGAGCTGCACATCTGGAGGCTTAACAGTGACACTGGGCAAATCTGAATGCTGAGCTTGATAGTGACCTGCAGGTAAAACTGTTACTTCGTGATGTTCTGGAGGCTGAGCTGGGGTCTCCTGCTGGGCTGGAGAAGATTCAAGCTCCCCAGAAGACTCAGAAGGCTGAGCTGGCTGCTCCTGCTCACTTGGGGAAAGTTCAGGCTCCATAGGAGGACCTGGAGGCTCAGTTGGGGTCTCCTCTTGTATAGCAGAAGGTTCCATCTCTTCTGGAGGCTGAGCTGGGGTCTCCTCCTGGGTCTGAGAAGGTTCAAGCTCCCCAGAAGATTCAGAAGGCTGAGCTGGCTGCTCCTGTTCACTGAGGGAAAGTTCAGGCTCCATAGGAGGACCTGGAGGCTCAGTTGGGGCCTCCTGTTGGGTTGCAGAAGGTTCTACCTCCTCTAGAGGCTGGGTTGGGGGCTCCTGCTGGGTTGAAGAAGGTTCCACCTCCTCAGGGAGCTGTGGAAGCCGAGCTGGGGCTTCTTGCTGGCGTGAAGAGGACTGGATCTCTTCAAGGGTCTCTGGATTTTGAGTTTCAGGCTCTAGATGGAATTGAGACAGTCCAACTTGCTCACGGGGCCCTGGAGGCTCATCTGAGTTCACCTGGAGGTCTGAAGGCAGGCTGCCGGGATACAGCATATCCATACTTGAATCTAAATACTCATCCTGCAAAGTTTGTTTCTGATGCTGAGGTTTTGATACAAATCGATGTGGAATTCTCACAGCCTTAGCAAGGCTCCAATGCTGAGCTAAATCTTTCTTCAGGTCCTTGGGAGAAACTATAAACTCTGTTGCTTTGGAATCCTGACTGTCTAGAGGTGGAACAAGTATTTCATCTGCCTGATGATCTGCAGCCTGATCTAGCTCTGCAGTTTGAACCTTACTTTCGAGGTGGCCAGGCTGAACTAGGGTCTGGTTCTGATCCCAGCCGAGCATTGGACCCACCTGTGGGAGCCTTTCTTGCTGAGTCAGCTTGTCATTCAGATCCGGGTGTGCAGACGAGAAGTGCTCGGGCCCCGGGGGCAGCTCTCCATCTGAATCTGTGTCCAGGAATGGAACCAAATTCTCAGTCGATTCCTGGGGCGGGGCTGACCTCTTGGAGGAAGCAGAGGACCCCAGGTAATCAAAGCCCCCCGCGTCCGCCGAGGGAGTAAGCGCATGGAGAGATTCCCATGGGAGATTGGAGGAGCCGGAAGACCAGGGCTCAGTCGGCCCCAGGGGGTTAGAGGTCAGCTGGAGTGGGTCCTTGACCCTCTCCAGAGGCTGAGACTCCTGGACTAGTAGCCACAATAGTTGCCACGTGAGGAGGGGCCATGGGGCCCAGAGACGTAGGCGGGACATGATAAGCACTGGCGCCGCGCATTGAGCAGGAACCATTCTGGCAGCCCCTAGAGGCTGGCGTCCCTGACAAGCACGCGCCCCGCCCCGTCCTTTATGACATCTTTATTTACACTACCTTTATTAGACTCGGGTCCAGATCTGCTCCATGTCACCAGGGCGATCTTACGTCACAAACCCACCCAAGACCCCCCCCCCCCCCCCCCCTCCCCTTAGCTAGGAAGGATTTGGGCCGCAGACCCGGGTGGGTTCCAGGACTCCAGCAGCCTGGTGGGGTGGGGTGGGGTGGGGTGGGGTGGAGTGGGGCGGGGGCACCGCAGAGCTTCCCAGGGAAGTTACAGGACCTTGCCTCAGGATATTCAGAAGCACTAGCCCAGTTCTGGCAGCCTGAACTCTTCCTCCTCCAATGTGAAATCTGAGAATACTCCTTCCAGGGAGCGCAAGTGACCTGCAAAATGTGTGCCAGTTAGGGTGGCAGGCAGAACGCACATTACAGTCATTTTTCCAAAATGTTGCCATTTTCGCTAAACTTTCTATATCTTTTGTTGCATGTTTGATAATTGATTCACGACCCTATTGGGTAGGGGCCGCCAGGGAATAAGCAAGGACTCCAAATTTTCTGTAGGAGGGCTGTTGGGGGTGGGGAATTCAGTCTGGGAGAGAAGGCTTCAATCCCAGTGAAGAGCCCTTTGCACTAGCCTGGGAGGAGGCTGAACTGTCATCCTGCCTTGACTTACATTACCCTAGAAGTTACAGTGCCACCCTTCAGAGGTCTACCCTGTGTGCACACATGGAGAGGAGGCTTATGTTGTTAAGTCAGCATGTTAAATAAGTTCCTGAAATGCGACTGTAAACTAGAACCCAGCTGACTTCCCCCACAGCCATTCTTACCTATCTTATTACTGACTGACTGGCACAATTACCAGTGTGTAAACTCCAAGAAGGTGCTTCATCTTATTCCAGTGCCTAGCATAGGCATATGGTGCATAGTGATGGTTTTAAAAATTGAAGTGGGGCCAGGCACCGTGGCTCACATCTGTAATCCCAGTACTTTGGGAGGCCAAGATGGGCAGATCATTTGAGGTCAGGAGTTTGAGATCAGCCTGGGCAACAGGGCAAAACTCTGTCTCTACTAAAAATACAAAAGAAAAAAAATGGGTGTAGTGGTGGGCAAGAGGCAGGAGAATTGCTTGAACCCAGGAGGTGGAGGTTGCAGTGAGCCGAGATCACACCAGTGCACTCCAGCCTGGGTGACAGAGCGAGACTGTCTAAAAAAAACCAAAAAAGTTTGGTACAGATAGTCTGGCTCTCTGGGCATCACCCATGGGAGCCTACTCCACTCCATTAGCCTACAGCCCGGCTTCCGACTTCAAACCCTAAGTCTGAGGGCCATGAATACTAGAAAAAAATCTACCCTTTCTAGATATCTGTATCAGACTCTTTTTCTGCTCAAGCCCTTCTATGAGTAAAAAAAGGACTGAATCTTTACACAAGTTTATGGAAATCTTTAGATGATGACCTGGCATGGTAAGTGACTCATGCCTATAAACCCAGCACCTTGGGATCCTGAGGCAAGAGGATCACTTGTGGCCAGGAGTTTGAGACCAGGCAGGACAACACAGCAAGACCCCATCTCTAGAAAAAGTAATTAGCCATGTGTGGTGGTACATGCCTGTAGTCCTGGCTACTCAGGAGGCTGAGGTGGGAGGATCCCTTGAGCCTAGGAGTTTGAGGTTACAGTGAGCTATGATCATGCTATTGCACTCTAGCCTGGGCAACAGAGTAGGACACTGTCTCTAAAAAATACTAAGAATAAATAGATAAATAAATCTTTAGTAAAAAGCGAAATATTTATACTATTTGAAAAGAAACCAGAGTATAGATAAATAAATCTTTAGATGATTTTGCTGGGATAACTGAAGGCTACAAGAGATATATATTTCGAGTACTATTTTAGTACAATGCAAGTTCTTAACCAAAAACTGGAAAAACATTACTTCCTTCTTCCTCCTAAGCTTCTTGGCAGGAAGTCCACTGTGCGATTTTAAATGTAAAGCCTCTGTCAGGTAAAAACCTATCTATGTTGCAAGACAGAAAAACTGCCCAGGACTTCAGTAGCTCACAGAGGGAAGGGCTTGATATGTATTTGAAAAGATGAGTTTTAGAAAGAAAAGAGAGATCCTTTCCATTTCAACTACTTACCCTCCTCCACCCTCAATGAAAACAGACCTTCCTCCACCTTATCCACAGGTTCCTCCACCAAGTTAAGGCCAGACTCCTGCAATCATAGAATGGCACTACCACCTCTAAAGCAGAGAATTTCAGGCTTTGCTTCGGAAGTGGCATGATGGTATGTTCATTTTCCCCCTTTTTTTTTTTTTTTGAGACGGAGTTTCGCTCTTGTTACCCAGGCTGGAGTGCAATGGCTCGATCTCGGGTCACAGCAACCTCCGCCTCCTGGGTTCAGGCAATTCTCCTGCCTCAGCCTCCTGAGTAGCTGGGATTACAGTCCCGTGCCGTGCCACCATGCCCAGCTAATTTTTTGTATTTTTAGTAGAGACGGGGTTTCACCATGTTGACCAGGATGGTCTCGATCTCCTGACCTCATGATCCACCCGCCTCGGCCTCCCAAAGTGCTGGGATTACAGGCTTGAGCCACTGCGCCCGGCCTCCCCTTCTTAAAGGTGAGAAAACTCCTGAAGCTGTTAGGATTTTTAATGTAAGTTTCTTCCAAGGATATTAATGTAGGCTTCAAACTGTTTTGTTATGAGAAATAAAAACTAAACTCTAGTCACTCAAACTAACAGTTGAGGTATCCTATGGCTTCAAAATAAAGTAAGATTTGCAAATAAATTGCTAGATACAGACAACCATTTTTTAATTATATGCCACACAAACAGTGGAGAAAATTATGAATACCACCATCCAAGTGATTGAGATTATTAATTTTAGGTAGCAGGCCAATTCAGACATGTCTACTTATCCCCAATGAGAGGAGGCCTCTCGTATCTCCTCCCTATAACCCAGTTCAATACTTCTGTTTAAAGTCTAGAATTTCAATGTTGAAAGGAGAGTGTGGTTAGTGAAAGAAAATCTACAAGGTTTACCCTGATGATCCTTTCTGACCGTCCATTGAAACCAAAGTAGCAAATCGCCAGTTCTTGGCTCCAGGAGTTGTTTAGGGCAAGGAGGGCCTGATGTTGAACTGCCTTTTATGTCTGGTGCCAAGACAAACCCTAAAGTCACAAGAGATAGACCTGTAAATATCACAACCTGCCAGATGTTTCATTCTGGATACATCTGAGATTTATCAATACCAACTGTGCAAAAAAAGAAATTATTTTAGTTTTCCCATTCAGTAGCTCCTGCTTGAGAATATAACTTGAAGAACAGATGAACCCACCATCCATCCCCCTCCCCAAGTTTAAACCCCTGTTTAAAGAGGAAACACACATACCTCTGTAAATTTTACAAGCAACTAAAACAACTAGAGGTTCACCTGCATTTATAAGCTTCTTTGAGAATACGAATATCTACTGAGTGCCAATTCTTGAAATATTTTACACATTTCTGTGGATTTCTTACATCACCAGTTCTTTCTTATATGTCTTTTTTATTTTTTAAAGTGTAATATATGATTATATTCATGAAATTCAAATGATACAAATAAAGTCAACTTTACTATATTAGAAATTAATAAGAATTAACAGTAAAGTTAATTCTTTATTGATTTGTTTATGCACCTTCCTCTATCGCTGGTTTATAAGCTCCATAAGTGTGAGAGGAAACCATATCGTGATCTTTTTTCATTCCCAGAACCAAGCACAGTTCTTGGCATATAATAGATGATAGATGACCTGTTGATTGAGTGAATTAATAAAACAATGAATAAGTAAAAATTGAAATTACTTTCTCCAACTGAAGAGAAGGAGAAATGCTTGTTGGGAAGGAGAAATGAAGACTAATTTTTAAATGTTGAGTGCTACAGGGGAGACCAGCCTGTATCATGAGTCACGGTGGAGCTTTTCTGGACAATCAGGAAACTTCAGAAGGACTCTGAAGCCCTGGGTGGTACAGACAGTTGTCACCTTGGATAGCCTTGCCACAGTTCTTGCTGGCAACCATCTCCCTTCATTTCACTGAAAAAACAAATGAACAAAAAACAAAAACCCACAAAACCCTCTTAGGTGCCTTAAGTCTTTCCTAGATTTTATTTTAAAACATTATTCTTTTTTCTATATTTACGAAAAGCAAAAGACAGGAACTAGGTATATGTGCTTAAGTAGAAAAGAACACTTAGGCTGGGCGCTGTGGCTCTCACCTGTAATCCCAGCATTTTGGGAGGCTGAGGTGGGCGGATTGCCTTAGGTCAGGAGTTTGAGACCAGCCTGACCAACGTGGTGAAACCCTGTCTCTACTAAAAATACAAAAATTAGCTTGTTGTGGTGATGGGCACCTGTAATCCCAGCTACTTGGAAGGCTGAGACGGGAGAATTGCTTGAACACAGGAGGCGGAAGTTGCAGTGAGCCGAGACCAGGCCATTGCACTCCAGCATGGGCAACAGAAGCGAAACTCCTCTGGCAACAGAGAGAGAGAGAGAGAGAGAGACAGAGAGAGACAAAGAGAGAGAGAGGGAGGGAGGAAATAACACTTAAACTAGATAACAGGGGAGATCAAATAGTAACCCAAGGCTCTATGTTCAGTAAATAAATAAATCTAATAGGAATACCTTCTCCTCTCACCTATCTATTGATTTGTAGAACATTTCCTTCATTACTCTATCAGTGATGAAATTGTGCTGTGAAATTCTCAAAACCTAAAGCTTATGAAATGGTCTCAATGTCCAGGGTGCACTAAAAACTCATTACTTACAAAATGATGCCAAGTAACTGTTTCATAATCTTTACCATACCTTTACAATATTTGAGTGGTTATGTGAAATGGTCACAGGTTAGAAACAGATCATTGTCCAAGAGTTAAATATCTCACAGGTGATCATTTCAGTCACAGGAAGTAGAACCAGGATTGAAGAGGGTGTTGAACAGGTTATAGAAATGGAGTTAGTATACCCGGGTCATTACTAAGCAGAGTTCTTAGGTTTGATCAAGGTTAAATTAATGAGGAATGGAATACAGACAAGAATAGGCAGCA